ATTGCAGGCACTGTTTCTCAAGTGTGCTTTCAGTGTATGTCCCTAAACTGCATTTAATCTTTACATTCCATTACAGCTTTCCTTGATAGAACAAAATTTCTTAATTTTGATAAAGTATAATTCATCAATTATTTTCTTTCTGGACCATGCTTTTTATTGTTACTATGTATAATGCACATATTAATACAGTTCATTCATGGCATTTCACTAAGAGTTTCTCACTTTATCAAGAGCTTCTTTTGACTTGATTTTGTATACTTAATCATGAGCAGATACTGAGTTACAGCAAGTATCATTTGATTTTTTTCCCTGATCAGACTTGGTTCCAGCCACTCGCTTTTCATCTTGTTTGTGTGTCATGATCTTTACCTCTTCTCTGACTGCCATTGTCCTCAGGGTCTCCTGAGCTATTCTTTTCTTTCTTCTCCTTAGGTTTGAGGGCTTCTCTTGCTCTATATTCAAGTTTACTTCCTCTTGCCTTTCTCAATCTCATCAGCCACTTGAAGTCCTCCTATGTGTTTGCTGTGGTGGACTGTATAGTTCACCTGTAGATTTCCATTTGGGTTCTCTCTCTCTCTCTCTCTCTCTCTCTCTCTGTGTGTGTGTGTGTGTGTGTGTGTGTGTGTGTGTGTCTGTCTGTCTGTCTGTCTGTCTCTCTGTCTCTCTTTGTGTGTGCCTTTCTGTCTTTACAGTCAAGAACTTTTGCCATTACCTGTTGAAACATGGCTTTTATAGAAAACAAAAATTTTTTTTCTGACAATTCTATCATCTGTATCACTTGGGTTCTGTTATCTGTTGTCTTTCCCCTCATGTCCTGGTAAGGTTTTCCTGTTTTTCCTGATATTAGGTGGTTTTGGATCATATCCTGTTCCTCTGAAAATCATTCTATGAATATCCTGTTTTTTCCTGATATTAAGTAGTTTTGGATCATATCCTGTTCCTTTGAAAATTATTCTGTGGAAATTATTCTGTGGAAATTTGTTTTTATCGGTTTAAACAGGATATTTTCATGTTCACACTATGAATTCAAAAGCTCTGTCTTCAGGCTATGGTTTCAATTTCAGTTCTTTCAAAACTTTCAGCTTTGTTCAATATATGTGCCACCAAGTCACTAGCTTGAGACCACATGTGTGCCACCAAACTACCAATGTGGGGCCTGAGCAGTTCTGTATTTTGCACTGAAGTCACATAGGCTTGGTCTCCTGCTCACACAGCCCAGCCAGGGACTGAGCTCCAGTGTCTAATACATCTTCTGGCTTATTTTATTTAATAAGTATTCTTCCTGCAACACTGATTCCTTCTGCCTCCCAATTGTCCTGTTCTTTGTCATTGTCAAATAACTCTTGAGTAGAAGATAATCTACTGAAAAGCCAGGGAAGTTGTTTCCCTGGCTGGGTGAGTACTTTCCCAGAATTCTATCTACTTTCTGGAGCCAAGTATGTTAGTGAAAGAAAAACAGCAACAGATCAAGACCCAGGGGCTCCTTCTTGTAATCCAAGTCCCTGGGAACCTGAGGCAAGTGATGGGAGATGTCATCCTGTATATGTTTCTCATACTGGTTAATAAATAAAGCACTGTTGGTCAATAGGAAAGGAAGATAGGAGGGACTAGGAGACAAGGAGGAAATAGGAAGTAGTAAGGAGTAGTCAAGATGGAGAGTCTAGAGAGAGCTGTATGCGGCAGCCGGCTCCCAGTAAGAAGACCACATGGAAATACATAGATTAACACAAATGGGTTAATACTTAAGACAGAGCTAGCCGATAAGAAACTAGTACCTGGCCAACAGTATAATATCAAATACAGAGTCTCTGTGTATTATTTGGGGCTGGCGGCATGGTGGCGGGACAAGACCAGCGGCGGCGGGCGGAAAAACCATACACCTTACAGGCAAGTATTACTGAAAGCTCAGGGCCAGACTGGAACTCTGCATCAGACCCAGTCTCCAAAAAATCAGTCAGAGAAGAGAGGTGAGAAAATAAGGGGTGACAGGATTCTCTCTCTGCTCTTGAAATGAAAATCATTATGACCCTAGAGAAGGCTTCGTTCCCCAGGGCCTCAGGCAGAGCTCAGCTTGCCTTCGTGAACACAGGACTTGTGTTTCCCTTTTGAGGCTGAACAGGTGACCCTTGGGAATGTGGCTTAATGCCTTCTGCTTCTCCTTGTCCCTGTCAAAGTAACAACAGGCACAGCTACAATCCCACTACTGAGTCATTTCCCTGGTCTTAGAATTATTTTTCCAGAAAATTTGCTCTCAACACTTTCTCCTAAACCATGGTAAAGAGCCAAGAAAGAAAAGAAAAAGAAATTTCCTGGGAACCTTCCATATTCCTGGTACTATGTAAGGTCCAGTGGTTCAGATTTATAACCTCAGTAATGGGGAGTTTGAGTCAGGGGGATAACAAGTTCAAAGCTAGCTTAAACTAAACTAGAAAATAATAACAGTAATACTTAGATATCATTCATACTGTGTCCTGTATAACATTTGGAGTTCAGGTTGACGTCAGCTATGGGTTCCCCTGTTAGTAAGTAGTAGAGTATATTTCTAAACTTTAAGCAGTCTGAATTCCAAACTGTCAGCTCTGCCTGTTATGCTACACTGCCCACCCCCACAGTGACACACTTCCTCTAACAAGGCCACACCTACTCCAACAAAGCCACACCTCCTAATAGTTGCACTCTCCATGTGGGCCATTTTCTTTTAAACCAGCACAAAGTCTAACTCTGAAACCAAAAGCTCAATAAAATGTTTCCTTTTATAAATTGCCTTGGTCATGGTGTTTTGTCAAAGTAACTAAAACAGAAGTGAGTACAATTCTACTAAAATCAAAATTTTCATGTTTATAGAAATAAAAATTACAGGTATCTAAAACACTTTAACACCTATCAAGGTTTTATTATCAAGAATGACCAAGTACTTGGAAATACTACATAGCTAGGATTTGACTTTACCACAGTCTCTACTAAAATATTAAGTGTCCTTGCCATAAATGATAAGTTTTGCTATTCCACTATATAGAAACATCTCTAACACCGGTATATGATAAATGCATATGTCACTATTTTTGTGTGTAATGTTTATGTATGCATGTATGCATGTAGGAGGGAGGGATGAGACAAATATGCGAGGTGTATAGAGGCCAGAAGTCAATATTGGATGTCTTCTGCAATAGTTCTCTACCTTACCTTTCAAGACATTGTCTTTTGATGATTCTGCTACACTGACTGGCCAGTGAGCTTGGGGAGGGGAGGGGGTATAACCACCTGTCTCCACCTCTCTAGTAGTGGAATTGCAAGCATGTGCTGCTGTACCTCATTTTTTAAATGGGGTGCTAGAAAGCCAAACTCAGGTTCTAAGAATGTATACCAAGTGCTTTACCAACCGAGCCAGCTTCCCACTCACTCAATTTTTAAATTAAAATAAAAAAAGTGGATTTGTATAGCCTACTTTGTGTGTTTCACGTGTTTTGTATATTTAGGTTATATCAATTCAGATAGTAATTTTCATGAGGATCCATCTCTAGGTTTTATAAAACTTATGATTTAAAATTAGATTCATATGCTTGTTGATGAAGCCATACTTAAAGGTTTTCCAATAATGAAGTCAAGTATGAAAAAGTTATCTTTGTGAAATATCCAAATAAACATTGGCAAAATTGATTCTTCAGCATTCATTTGAGTTTGAAACAAAAGCACACTGGTTTCTAAAGCTGTCTGCCTACAAGTTGCTCATTCTGTATCAACTCATCGGCATGAACATTGATATCAAAGGAATATCACACAGGTCCCTCTCAGAAAAGATATATCAGACTGTGGCCTTTGCTGGAGTGGATATAGAGGTAATCAGGCTAAAATGAGACCATAAAAGTGAGCCCCTATCTGCTGAGACTCACATCATTATAAAACAGAGAAGTATGGACACAGTTGAGCACAGAGTGAGTGGCGTGTGGAGAGGCCACTAGAGAAGCAGAAGCAGGAAGACCTAGAACAGACCCTTGGGCAGCCACTGGCTTCTGGAGCTGAGAGAAACAGATTTCTGTTATTATGATTGCTAGCTAATTTGTGGCACCCTTTGTTTTATTTTGCTTTGGTTATAGACCCAGGGAAGTAATATGTAATGTAGATTCTTTTCATCAGGGCTTCCTATTGAGCTTTTTCATGTGTTGTGATGCAGAGAGCAAAATGTAAAGCATGTTGCTGTAGTTTGTCACTGGAAACTTGGACTGAACTGTCTCGTCTGGTCTAGTCTCCTGTGACCTAGCCAGGCAGTGTTGGCAAGAGATGCTTTTTTTCCCTCTTTCTTTTCTCTCCACTGAGACACAGTGGAGAAAGAGTTTAAAGCCAGACAAACCACGGTTGGCATCTCAGTTCCTCCTCCAAGAGTGGCTCTTTGTCTTTCTTGGGTTCACATCTGCCTTCTCTAGCAAATTTACAGAGCCTTCCTCACAGTCTCACTGGGGGAATTACTTCAATGAGTTAGTTTAAAAAGTCCCAATTCACTTCCTGCCATGTGCTTATTGACTGTTGGCTGCCTCTTGCCTTCCTGAGAGGTCTTTCAGTGCCTATTTGCACTAACTTTGGTGGCTCTGAGTCATCTGTCAACAACTGGTTAGAAAATCATGGACTATTGGGATGGAGAAACAGTGAGTAAAAAGCTTGCCTTGCAAGTGTGAGGCCTCAAGTCTGATCCTCAGAGCACATAATTAAACACACTGTAATCCCAGGACTGGGAGGGCAGAGGCAGGCAGGTCCCTGATGCTCACTGGCTCAAGTTATAGGCTAGTGAGAGGCCTCATCTCAGAAAAATATGAACCTCACCAAAGGACACACTCACACACATGTGTATACACACACACACACACACACACACACACACACACACACACACAGATGTATGTTTTGGATACTCAAAAATCTTTTCTCATTACATAATATACTCTTAACCATCACTCATCCTGATAGGGACTTAAGTGGAAAATATTGAATGAAGTACAGAGCCCTACTTGTCAGATGGGTGAGACTCCACAAAATACCCAGCAAAGGGACAGTAGATTCGAGGCTGCAGGTCCTTCACCAGCTGAGCTTTGTAATTCAGAAGCTTTCTTCTTTCCGCTTTAATGAACTGGGCCTTCCATTCCTCTGAAACAACATGTTTGGGGTTAGTGTCTCCATTCAAAAGTCTTTGAAAGTGAATACCCTAGTTCCCAGCTTTTTAAACTGGGTTGTAACCTAATGTGGAGATGGGTAACTTAACTGTGGAGGTCACAAGAAAATCATCAGCTGTAAATTTTTCTGAGATGTCAACAAAACTTAATTAAAACAAAACAAAACAAAACAAAAAACCCAAAAAACTCAAAATGCATAATGGTATGGCTCACTTGTGTTGTATTGTGACATAACTGATCACTGCTCATCGTGTAATGTCACCGAAGCCTTGGTTCTGAGCACACAACAGGTATGCTTTGCATTGGGCATGTCATCACACGACACAACACAATCAATTATGCCTGTGCTTGGCTCACATTCAAACACCACTGTATGCTATGAACTATGTATTTTTACTGCACACACCGTCTTTCTGCTCTTTCAGAGACAGAATGGTTTAATTGTGGAGAACAAAGACTTTTCATATTTTCTTAGCATCCTCTGTAAGAATGTATGAAATTGTGTAGTGTATCTTTGGATTGTATTGTGCTAGGGTGTTTGATTTTTAAAATTACTGTTTGAGTTGTTGACTTGAGTTTCACAAAATTTAATAGTTCAATGAATTTTGACTTGGGATCAGGACGGAATTTCCAAAAACTTATTAAATGGCCCTAAACTTTATGGCCATGCTTTATGGTAATAGGTATTTATGTGAATGTAATTCTCAGACTTGATCATAAAATCAAACTATCAATCAACTTTGAAAACTGCTAGAGAAATCCCACATCACATCTTACTGTATCAAATACTCAACTAAGATTAATTCTTTATCTAAATGAGTACATCCATTTTTGAAACAAGGGTTCTCTGTGTAGCTTTGGAGCCTGTCCTGGCACTCTGTAGACCAGGCTGGCCTTGAACTCACAAAGATTTGCCTGCCTCTGCTTCCCAAGTATTGGGATTAAAGGTATGCACCACCATTGTCAGGCTTGTTTATAATTTATTAACAGCAAATATTTGATTTGTATACTGATTTTTATATGCTTATACACTCAGGGTTGCATAAAAATTTCTCTGGTGCCAAGGGATTACAAATGGAAAAGTTTAATAAATCTAAACTGGACAGGGACTTGCTCAGGAGAAAAAGATGGAGGGACAACTAAGACAGAAATAGAATTAATCCCTATGACAGTGATGGAGACTTAGCAAACTTTGATTATTTACAGAAGACCAGTCACTTGTCCCAGACTTGCTTCTTGTTTGTTATAAAGGAGACTCTAGTTTAATACGGGGGCCAGTGTGAATTCGGGGGCCTATTTTGTAAGCAAGCCCATCCTATGTACACTGCAGCTCCTACAGTCACTAACTTACTAGTGCTATTGCCGTGGTACATTGTAAAACTGAAATCTATTTTTGTAACCTGAGAACTCCAATGACTAAGACCACTGATATGGTTTTTAGTCATACTTACGATCAAAGCCTAGCCCACCACTTACAGAATTGAGTAATCGACCTAACTTCTCTCCCCTCCTCTGTCAACAGACTCATTAGACACCTCACAAAGTTTCCTCTCTCTTTTCCTCGCTCCCAGTGTTTATTGCATACCTTCTATGCTGCAGAGGTGCTCTGGGTACTAAGCATAGTAGTGAAGACTGCAAGTCTAATGACAAGAAATGGGAAGTGCTCCCAAGGAATCTTTTTCCTAACGAGAGAAGCCCATGTTTTGTTGTTGTTTGTTGTTGTTGTTTTGAGATAGGGTTTCTCTGTGTAATATCCCTGGCTGTCCTAGAACTTGATTTTTAGGCCAGGCTGGCCTTGAACTCACAAAGAACCTCCTGCCTCTGCCTCCTGAGTGCTGGGATTAAAGGCGTGCACACCACCACTCAGTGAGAAGCCAGTTTTAAGAAGGAAATAGTTATTATATGAAGTGTTGTGAATAGCACAGCAGGGCAGTAGGGTGGGGAGTGTCTGTGCTGAGGTGGGGTGGCATGATCACCCTTAGACAGGGCAATCAGGAAGTATCTGTGCTGAGGCGGGGTGGCATGGTCACCCTTAGGGCAATCAGGAAGTGTCTGTGCTGAGGTGGGGTGGCGTGATCACCCTTAGACAGGGTAGTTGGGGAAGAGACAGTAGTTGAGTTGAGACACATGGGAAATTGCTGGTCATGTCCAGTTTAGCAGCAAGAAGATCCCAGAAAATGAAAATAGTTGACAGAACAAGCTGGGCCAGGGTAGATCAGGAGTCCTAGCCTGAGGACATCAGCAGGCAGCAAAGGGGGCCAGCAGAGCCCATTGGGAGGCAATCATCATGTAAGTTTAGGGTTAAACAAGACCTAGTAGTTGCAGCACACAGGGTCAGAGAGATGGTTCTATAGCCCTTGAAATTGAAATTTGATACAGATAAGGGCATAGAAAAAATAAAAATTTTACACACCTTGACATAATCACTATCAACATACCTTTTTACCTTTATAGCCCTTTATAGCCCTTTATACCTTTAAAAATACATATGCATGTACCTTCCGTAACTATATTTTTGCCTCTCCTATATTTGCCTTTAACTACATTTTAACTCTTTGGTGGCTATCCATCTTGGAAGGCAATGGATACAAATGCATAGAAGGAAGCAATAAGCCAGCTGAGAGTGCTAGCTTCATTCTCTGGGTGGGCATTTGGGTCACATTGCACCACAAGGCTCACTTGCCAAACATCTTAAGCACTGTATCAAGGCTACAAATAAGCTATCTCATACATACACTTTCCTCATAGAAATCCCAGCACTACCCTTGGATCCAGAGTTGAAGGGCTCCAGGGTGGGGACCCACACTGTGGAATCTCCTGCTCTGGCTGTACCACCCATGAGCACTCCACAGGACCAGTAGGAAGCATCCACACCAAGTCATTCTTGATCTCCTTCTAGGAACACTGAGGCCAGAACTACCCACTCCATTCTATCCTTGTCCCTTCCTGTCTCTACACGGTGGTTTTCCGTAACAGTCTTTCTTGGATCCTCCTACATTCTCCCTTCCCCAGGAGCTCCTTCATCTCAGTGTTCCCGGCACACTCTACCACCACATTCCAAGCTGGAAACCTCAGAGTGTAGTGTCTGCAGTTCCTGTCTGGCTTTCTAATGGAGTGCATACTCCTCTGAGCAAGAACCACATGTCAATTATATCTGTCCTTATTCTCACAGTATCCATCCAAGCACCATGTGATGCTCAGTATCACTAGGGTATAAATTATTACCAGTAAATTTTCCACCACTGAAAGTCATTGGAAAGCCTGATGCTCCTCCAGCAAAATCACTCATCATTAGAGCAACTTTCTCAGGCAGTCTTCCCCCATTGGGTCTGGTACAATCCACTGTGTTGAGTATTTTATGACCTGTGGGGAAACAACATGAAATCTCACACTCTTCAGCTTAAATGACCAAGCCAAAAAGGTTGTTCAATTCAGTCATCTAATTAGGTTGATTAGAGAAGAATTGTTATGTTCCCCAAACCCAAACAAACTAAGCAGAAAAAACAAAAACCCACAAAGAGGAAACTGTCAGAATCTAAAGTTTTACAATATTCTGACTTCCAAGTGAAGTAATTCATCTCTCTGGCTGGATGGGTTCTGGGAACCTTATGGATCATCAGCCTAGTTTCACTGCAGGTCACAAAATACTCCATCTCCAGATGCTAAAGCTACAGAGCCAGGTCAACACAGATGCCCCTATCTCTGGCAAATTCTATGTACAATTATGTTCCAAGTGATTACTGGCTAACTAAGGCCATGCCTCATTCGTGATGATCGATGACATTTTCTAGTGATAGTGGCCTTTCATTTTGTTTTGTTTTGCTCTGTTCTGATTGCTTTGATCTTTGAGACATGGTCTCATAGAGCCCAGGCTGGCCCAAACTGCTTAGCATAGGATGGCCCTGAATTCCTGTTCTTTCTGCTTCTACTGCCATACCTAACAGTATGATGAAAGGGACTCATGACATTTATTCAACAATAAATAAAGATAGCATAGAAACAACATAAATATTGATTCCCTTGTACTAAAAGTTATGTAGCAGTAATGACAGACTCCTAAATACTGACAAGTTTTCATTTGGAAAAAACAAAAAAAAGATCTAAAGGTTCATTTTCCTAAGGTAAGAGCATAGTATACTGTATTCTCTTAAGTGGTAACAGCAGAAGATGAGCCCAGGATCAGACAGCAGCCATCCATGGCATGCCTCACTGTTCATTGCTTCTGAGGAAGGAAAGTACCTTTGTACTCCACGATAATGCATGTGTCCATCTCAGGATGAACACCATCCATCAAGATCATGAACCGCAGATTTTTGTCTACCTGAAACCCAGCAATAAACCAATTATGTAAGTCATTTGGCTTTGATTTAATATTTGAGAAGATGGCAAATCAGACCAAAGTTTAAAGGAAAAAAAACAAAACACTGTCTGAAACTAGACTTAATAGCCTGTTTTATATTTGCTGGATGGAAAGAAAATCTTTTAGTAAAGGCAGTTATGTCCAAAATTGAAGCTTAAATACATGTTTTCATTACTAGGTCCCATGTACAGACAGATAGGCCACTTTCTATACATTTAAACATCACCTCAGAAAGCATAATAAATCGTATCTCTAACCTGTTGCCACTGTCCAAATGGTACCACATTGATGTTAGTTAACCGGACACCACTCTGGTCCAGATTCCAAAACACAGGCCTTTCCGTGTCACCAACATAAATGGGAATGTCTGGTCGTCTCTGGGACAGCTGCTTCAGAGTCGGGTAACTAGATCAAAAGGATGGAAACAGTGAAAGGGAAAAGAAGAAGAAGAAGAAGAAAAGGGATTCACTAATAAGAGGACAACATGGTGACTGAAAAGGAAGGAGTTGGAAATTAGCTGTTCTTGAGAGTGTCGCAACTTCTCAGGAGACATCACTTCAGGGCTGGAACATTCCACAAAACCTGGAATGGAACTCAGCCAAGTGTATGAGTCCAATGTTCCACACCAGCATTACTCTGAGTGGTGAGGCTGGATGGGGTGGGGGATGTTGGTCATCCTTTGGTGGACTCAGTACCAGAGGTGCCATGCAGTAAAATTTAATGGAGATGATAAACATTCTAGTAATCTCAACTCTTTGTAACTAGTCATCCAGGTCTTTTCAACCTCTTATATACATGAAGGCAATTTTCATTTCTATTGAGCATTCATGACAAAGATTTTTATGTAGCACTGTAGAGTATGGTTGAGAGGTGAACAAACAGCTATGTACCCATTCTATCACAGGTGTTTCCAGAGATTTTGATTCTGTTTCTGTTGTGTTTTTGTTGTTGCTGTTTTTTTGTATTGTTTGGGGGGTATTATATTTTGGTTGAGATAGGGTCTCATTGTGTATCCCAAGCTGACCTGAAGTTCCTAAAGATCTTCCTGACTTAGCCTCTTGAGTACTAGGATTGCAGGCATGAGCCACAATGTCCAATGGTCATTTGATTCTTTTTATGTGCTCTAAGGATTTTATTTTTATAGATGAGAAAAACATATTCATAAATGTACAAGTAATAAAAACAATAAACTAGTGTTGAAACTTTGGTTTTTCTGACCAAACCTAGTTCTACTTCCATCAGAAGGTAGTTTCTAACTGTTTTAGAATCAGACTATTATCTGGGCATGATACCAAATGCCTATAATCTACAGACAAATACATAAAAGAATCAGCCTATTATATGAAATGATACCATAAGCATGAAAAAATTATGTGTGTCAGCATACATAGCCTGTACTAATATAACATTCCCACACTGTGAAGAACCTCCCAAATAAGCAGAGCCTATGAATTGGGGAGGAAGAAGGTTTTCTTCTTAAGCAAAAGATTTTAAAATTCCAGGATTCTTTTGACTTCCCTTTAATCTCTGAGTTCAGAAATCAAATCTCGTATTTTAAAGAATAATAGGAAAAAAAATACCCCCAAAGGGTTAATTTACTGCTTATAGCTGTGGTGGTATGAAAGAGCATGTCCCCATAGTCTTGACCATTTGAATATTGGTCCCTAGTTGGCAGCAGTTTGGGTAGGCTCAGGGGGTGTGGCCTTGGAGCAAGTATGTCACTAGGACATTCTCTCTGCTTCATGCTCTTGGTTTAATGTGTTGTTGTTGTTCTAGCCACCACAACAGCCATCCCCTCATCCCACCCAGGATGAACTCTAATGCTCTAAAACTGTTAGCTCAAATAAATTGTTTCTTCTATAGGCTGCATTGGTCACAGTGTTTTATCAAAACAACAGAAAAGTAACTAATAATACAGTGGTTTTCTAACTGATGGTAGTTCTTACCCTCATCTGCTAATGCCATGCAACAATACTGCATTGGCGTTATGAAATCACATTTCTTTGAACGCTATTTGCTGTACCATGCTGTTTTCTCCCTCATTTTTTATAATTCGGGGAAGTTTTATTTTGAAAGTAGAGTTCAGACAGTGGGATTGGGGTAAGTGACCTCAGTGGTTATTAATTGACCAGGAAAGAATCAAAATGAGAAGGGTTTTGCCACAGAAAATGGAGTGAAAGAGGAAACCTCACCAGTGTCAGTAGTTTTCCAATGGCAAATACTCAGCACTCAGCTAATTGTTTACACAGTGGGTGGTTAGGATGCTGTACTCAACATGTAACAGTTTTGCCTCAGGAAACCCCCGACACTGGCCCCCAACTGGCCCATCATGCCAATGGCTAAAGAGCACCTTGACCAAATGACATTTAAAGTTCTTATGCCTGTCCTACCCTGAATTCAGTGTTGTCCAATAGAATGCTTCTCTTTAAGACTTGGCCAGTTGCAATGGATATGTAATGCAATCACATCCTTTACACACCACTGTCATTCTTACTTAATATAACAATGTATACAAACTCATCATAATAACACACCGTGGTTATTACAGCACATGCACCTGGGGCTTCCACAAGCCTTGGATTAGACAAGTGTAGTTCTAGGAACTGGTTAAGGGCAAAAGTATTGAGACAAACAAGCAAAGCTTTGTAATACTGCAGTCTCTAGGAGTTAGTTAAGTGAGTTAAAAGCAATATGTTGATCACTAATTCAGTTCATTCAAGATCTAAACCATTTCCCTTTAAACTAGTTCCACATCCTGTAGGGGTCATCCAACCAATAACCAACATTTTATCCTTAACAGTGGCATTTTGGCAAAGTACATCCAGCACAAACTTTATCATACAGGATCGCAGATAAAGAAGTTAAGGTGCTTGAGAAACATTGTGGGCATAACAATGTTTAATATTAGTGACTAAGAAAAAGGGGTTAAACATACAAAACTGACACAACCTCTAATTAAACCTGCCTTCTTCTGATAATTCATTCATTAAAAAAGAATTTGTTGTTTTTAAGCATGACTTCTGAATTGGAGGCTCTGCTTTCATCCTCCTTTCTGGTTGCCTGGATTTGGTAGGTGTCCTTTGGGTTACTAGCAGCATTCCTGACTCACAGGCGTGATTGGCCAAACAGTGTTTTATTCATCAGCCAATAAGAGAAACACATATACACAAGGATTTCCCCCATCACTCCTGCCTCAGCTTTTCAAATGCTGAGGACACTGATCCTTTACAAAAAATGTATGTTGGTTTGTGTCATAAATTTTGAACTAATAGAAGGTCACACTGATGGGCTTTATGCCTATTCATGTTTCAACTAGGACAAAGCAGAAGTCTGCACATGATTATCAACCACCCTGCTTTCCATAATGCCTCCTTCATTATTCCTGTCAGTATAAACTGTGGATCTCTTTTAAAATTAAAATTATGGTACATGTACAAAAATGTACTTTTATTTTCCTCTTTTTCATAGTCCTAATGGGGCAAGTCAGAGTGGACAGTGAATGTAGATGAATCTAAAAAGCCTTTTATAAGCAAGACATAGTGGAACATGTCTATAAAATCCCAGCACTTGGAAGCAGAAGTATAAGGATCAGGAATTTAAGGGCATCCTCAGCTACATAGTGGGTTCAAGGCCAGCCTGAACTTTTTAAAAGCCTGTCTAAGAAACAAAGCAACAACCTGCAAGACCCCACTGGTGCCTATAGTTCAGCCACTGGGTTATTTTAGGAGTTGAGTGCTTGGCTTCATTACCTCAGGTGGTCAGAGTGCATGTGACTGATGTAAATGAGATCTGCTTTGCACAACCTCTCCAGCCAGTCAGATGGAGGCTCATGTAGCAACCACCATCCTCGGGCAAAAGCAGGTCCAATTAACCAAGGGTCAAACACCATCTGCTTGTCTCCCAACTTGAGATCCATGCAGGCATGAGTGAGATATGTTATCTGTTAGAAGAGAGTGAGATTCCTGTTATGATTGGGTTACTACTGGTCAGCCACAATTGCTCAGGATGTTTCTCTGACAAGGTCAGGCCAACTATGGCTCAGCTACAACTGCAAGCACGCACTGACAGAATACAGGCCTTTCCACAGACTGTCAGAACAGTGCTCGGTGTCAAACCAATGGATGCACCTGATTTTATTCTCTTTAAACCAGATCCTCCATGTTTAGGTATTATCTGGCCAATCCAAGCCTCACAGTTTCCAAGGTAAAGCAATTAAAGATGTCAGGACTAGCATCAAGGGATGTAATGTGCCAATGTGGCTTCACAGCATGTTGATTACATGCTTCCTGGTTAGTTTGGGGGGTTGAGACATCTGCAGACTGGAATGATACCAGCCTAACTGAACTGTATGGTTTTTCTACACTATGTTTGTTACCTTCTTACCACCGTGCAGGTACCCAGGGCCTTTGAGACTGGGTATCAACAATGACTTCCAGATATGAGTTTAAAGGAATTCTAAACTCATTCCTCACCCTCTTGCTTCCCCCTGCCTGGCACACCCACAGACAGAGAACACAAGGAGGAACAGAGATAATAGAAATTCCAGTGTGAAGTCAACTATGAAACAAGGAACAGTCAGGAACCAAATTCCTTTTTTATTACTCCTGAGTGCAGTCTCATTTGTATCAAACAAAGCAAAACAAAACCAACTAAACAAAAAAGTTGTTCAAATGCACACAGCTTCCTAAATATATAGAATATGTGTGTGTGTGTACACACACACACACACACACACACACACACACACACACACACACAGTTTTGAGTGTTTGTCTTCCTCAAACTTCTGAAGTATTTTCTTTAGAGCAACATGCCCTGAAGATAGAAAATGCATACAAGACTTGCAAAATATCTCAGGATAAGGTGCAAAAATATACAGCTTGTTATCTGCCACATTGGGAATGCAGATTATTCCTCAAAGGTTCTCTGCTTGAAACTTGGTAGCCAGGGTGGAGATGCTGAGAGTGCATGGGATCTTTAAGAGGTGGAGCCTGGTGTGAGGTAATTAATTCATCAGGGGCAGCAATTTTAGAAGAAATTCATGTAGTTCTTGCAGGATCACAGGATCTCAGTATCAACCAGTTCCCTCAAGAATGGGTTTTCATGGGAGGACTGGCACATTCCTCCAGTCATTGTTCTGCATGTATGGAATGCCACTTTCATGTATACTGCTGCCATTGTTAGTCCATCCATCACCAGATCTGGGCACATGCAAACAACATGCTTTTGAAGCTCTCAAACTATATGTTAAATTAGCCTCTTTCCTCTATAAAGTTCTTAACCTCAAGTATTTTATCCTCAACACACTGATGATATACCATCTTATCCAAAAATGTTCAGACACTAAGAGTAGTACCTGAACTTCTTCCAGTTGGTTTACATGTTCTTCATTGAAACCTTCCCTAAAACATCATTTTTGTAAGGTGTGTGTGTGTATATATATAATTTCTTTCTATATATAAATATAGGTGTGAAGATATGCAAATAAATGTATAAAGGAGATCTTAGTTTTATTTTGTTGTTAGGCATATTATAACTTTAATATTTCCTTACCTGTACTTCCCCAAAAGCCAACTCTTCAGGAGACCTGGGATTAGAGTCCCAAGGGTTAGGAGGATTCAGTTCTACAAGGAAAAGCCCATTGTTTCCATCCATTTCGACAACTAGAACCAAAGGGAGATAAACCTGAGCAAGTGATAAAATGACATTTTCGAAAGTACCACTGAAAGAGAAACGTATAGTCTAAGCACAGAGGGTCAAAAGCACACTCACAACAGAAGGGAATATTCACTGATTGCACAGCACCTGCCAACAAAACAGCTACTAATGATGTTCATGTCCTTATTCATGCTTCACTTAAGTAACTCAAGGGATCTCAGGCGTGTTTGACACATCCCATCCACACAACTGCAGTGTAATGAAACCAGCGAAAGAGAGAAGGTCGAGGTGCTGAGAGAATGTACAGGAAAGAACTCCTGATGGCAAATGCAAAAAGAAGTATAACTAGGAAGTAATTTCAAGTCACTCAAGTTAGACTTGAGAGATAAGATAACTGACAGATACAAGACATATGCCACAGGCAGGCAGCAGGATGGCTGATGTCATGCAGAGGGATACTGCGCAGGCAGCATGATGAGTGATGTCATGCAGAGGGATGCCAGCATAGGAAAGCTTAGAATACACAAAGATGTGTCACATGTCCATACCAAGAATGAGCCAAAAGAAGCCTCTCTTAAATTGCTCTTTGTCAGGAATTTAATCACAACAATAAGAAAAGTAATTAAATAATTCCCAGCAACAGCTTTAGTTTTCTTTTCTTACATTGTGTTTGTTTGGTTTTGGTATTAAGGTATTACTACGGACCTCATTAGTCTGGAACAGAACCACACATGACCAAGTGAGCTCTATGCCAGACTGGTTCAATATTTGAAAAATAGAATGATAATTCAATATTCAAAAAAATCAATGGGCTGCATCATATTGGCAGAAGGAAAGGAGGAAATACATGGGCATCTCAATGGCTACAGAAAAGATATTTGACAAAATATACCATCCTTTTAGGAGTTAGAAGATACTGTTAGGAGACAGAATAGCAAAGCAGGTCGTCAACCTGAAAAGCGACACAGCTGCATTCACTGGAGCTTTTACATAAAGCAACTATGCAACAAAATGAAATAAAAGGCATGGAAATTAGAAAGGAGTTAAGCTATCCATAACCACAGAGGACATTATCCTAAATATAAAACATTTAACATATCTAATAAGGGAATATAGGATTAATAAGTGTGTTCAGGAAGATTATAGACACATGATCAATAAGAAAGGCAATATTTCTATTCATAGCAATGAGCAATGTTAAAATTAGGTTTATGGGATGGTCAAAAAGAATAAAATAGTTATGATAAGAAAAAAAACCAGGATGGTACAAAAACAAACACATAAACCAATGGGGTCAGAGTGAAGAACTCATATAAACCCACTTAGCTACACACATTTCACTTTTTGACTAAGATGGCAAAAATATACATTAGTGAAAAGAAAATACCTTCAACAAAGGGTGCTGGTAAAAGCAGATACCCACTTGTCAAGAATGAAAGCAGATGGCCATCTTGTACTCTAATGAAAATTAACCTGAAAGGATCAAATACCTTAATACAGGATCTAAAACAGCGAAACTGCCAGGGGAAAGATTAGGTGAAAGAGTCCAAAATGTAGATGGCCATGGGTATGAAGTTTCTGAATAGGACTCCAGTCTATCAGGAGATGGCACCAATAACTGACAAGTAGGACTTCATGGCATTAACAAGCTTCTGCCCAGCAAATGGAGCAATTTCGTGAAGAATGGCCACAGACTAGGGGAATATACATATATTTGTTCACAATACATATGGCAGAACAGCCATATCTAGAATATACAAAGAACAAAAAAAAAAAAAAAAAAAAAAAAAAAGCTGCTAAACAATGAGAAATCAAGTACCCAATCAATAAATAAGCTAGTGAAAGGAGCGGGCAGTCCTCCAAAGATGAAAAACAAATGATCAATAAACATGAGAAAGCAAGGCCTTGTCTCAAACAAACTATCAACAAATCAGGTAGGCCCAACAGTTTAAAATCAGAACAGATCCAAAACTTGGAGATTGGAAGCCGCCAAAGTCTGCCCTCCCTGACCCACCCTGGTAGGAAGTATGGATGAGTGTTTACCCAGCTCGTCCTGACAGAAGCTCCCTGGAGGGTTGATGTACTTCATGGTGCTCACATCTAACTTCCAGTTGTGCTTTGTACATTTAACGGACCTGGGGGTGGGGGTGGGGGGATGACAGTCAGCTGTATGACATGGTGAAAAGAGAGTTAGTGCTGGTAAGGCAGGCAGGGTGGCAACTCATGACAGGGAAGTCAAAGCAATTGATGGAACACAAAATACATGAAAGAAAACTCTATGGACAATTGATACTGGGAGAGTCAAGGAAATGCTGGCTAATCATCAAGCAATGTTTTTAAATGTGAAGACCTAGTCTGTCTCGTACAGTGATGTGTGTTAGAGACAACAGGATGATGTTCAGGCTAAGTAACTCCTCCTAAGCCAGCGCTCAGAGGGTCAGTCAATCTGCAATGAGGGTTATCAGGGTCAGGTCCTAGGGGAAGAAGTGGAGGCTGGCCAGGGGTAAAGCAATGGCTGTACACAGATGAGCAAGATGATGATAGAGCTCGTGCTTCTGCAGACAGCCCTTGTTCACAAACTGCTCCAAAGTCCGGTCTCATAACAGCGAAGTGAGGTTCAGCGAGAAGGTGCTCATGCGACTTATCCATCTGCAACCCTTCACCTCTAGTGTTCAACTAGTTTCAAATCCCCAAAACATTTCCCTACAGTTTAAGGTTTGAAAGTATGATTACTGGATCAGATACATTACATTCAGATGAATATGAACTTCTGAAAAAGCAAGTATATTTACTTTTCTTCTTTCTTTGATTTTGCAAGACAGGGTCTCTTTGTGTAGCTCTGGCTGTCCTAGAACTCTCTTTGTAGACCAGGCTGGCTTTGAATTCAGAGATCCACTTGCCAGTCTCCCAAGTGTTGGGATTAAAGGTGTGTGCCACCACATCTGGCTAAACGTGAATACATTTTTGAATGTATGTCTACCATGATATATACTAAACTACAACATATACTAAAATTTGTTTTTATCAATCATTATTTAGGTGAGTGTGCTACATTTCTATTTACTAATTTAATTCCATTTCAGAATAAGACTCAGACTAGAGCAAGCAAGAGACTTCTTAGAGGAGGTACCATGAAATTTTTGCTCTTTGCTTGAACCAACACCCTTATTTCTTACCTTTTTCTTGCTTTCTCCCTCCAACTTTTTTGGGATAGGAGCTTGTGTAGACCAGGCTAGCCTTGACCTTACTATGTAGCCCAGGATGACCATGAACTCCTGACCGCTCTGCTTCCTCCTAAGTGCTTTGATTATGCATGTGCTCCACCATCATGGCTCACTATGCCTGGCTCAGTCTTAGTTTGGTTTTTTGTTTTTCAGTCAAAATTTTATTCTATAGCCCAAACTGGCCCCAAATAAACAGAAACCCCTGCTCAGTCTTCCAAGTACTGGAATCCCAAGCATAAGCTACCATATCCAGTTCCCTTTCATCTCCCCAGAAAATAAAGCTTGGCAGACCTAGGGGCACTCAGTCAGAAGTAGGGTACAAACCATTTCTTTCTTTATCTTCATAATTTCCTGATGACATACAAGAAGCAAAGAATTTTTTAACCAAAGAATGTGTCCTTCCAGAAACATCGTTTTGGGAAGAAGAAATCAAAAGCGTCTATTTAAACTTGTAAGCATATCATGGTGACATTTCCAAGCTTCATTATTTCCAGAATTTTAAAATGTTCATTATTGGTCAGTTAGAAAGTACAGTTCATAGTTTGATTTATGAAGGATTACTTTGTGGCCCTTTCTTTCTGAGCAATAAGTGGACAACAGCTTCTAAAACTTAGGATGAGACATTCATTCAAAGTGGAACTATAGAGCATATTAGGACCCCAGACGGAAAGCTGGCAGAACTATTTGTAATTGGGTGGCAGCTTGATGGGGGGGCAAGAGTGAGGCAAAAGAAGATGGGGGGCAGGAGAGAGGAGGGGGGAAAGTGCTAGAATGGGGCAAGAGAGAGGTAGGAGGGGACAGGTGGGCAGGAGGAGGACTCCACGCCTCACACAGAAGCTATGAGAGCATGTTCGATTTAAGGACATGAGATCTGTTGCTCCTGGTTCTGTGTCAGGAAGAAAGCTGACTGAATGGCAGGTAGGAATGGACTATGCTTGAGTGTACCCTGGAAAAGATGTTTCTCTGGGATTGGTTACTGAACAGAGGACTCAAGTAGAAGAATAGAAGGTGGAGGCAAATGGGAGCCATCACAGGCATACAGCTTAACTACAGGGCAATGAGCTCCACAAAGAATAAAGTGAAGTGTGCCCAGCATCCCTGTAAAGGTAGCAAAGAGAACAGGATATGGGCTAGGGGGATGGCTCAGTGGGTGAAGGGCTTGTCACACAAGCACGAGAACTTGAGTCTAAACCCTTGGACTGCTGTAAAAAGCTGGGGGTGACAGTGTATACCTATAACCAGCACTGGGAAGGCGTAGACAGGAAGATCCCCAGGGTTTCCTAGCCTGATATAGCCTACGTGAGGCCTAAGTTCAGTGAGAGAGTCAAAAACATTACATGTAGTGTGACTAAGGAAGAAATCTTCCATCAACATCTGCCCCCCCTACATACACACGCACACATACACACAAAGAAACACACACACATGCATGTGCATATATATTCATATAAAACAGGCCTAAGCTACTGGCAAAGTGAAAGTAATATCAACCACCTTAAGGCTTTGCGTTCGGCAAGACTGGCTGATCTGTGGTGAGGAACTCATCATATTTGGGTGTGCAAACTGAATGCAAAAACAATCAGTTCTTCCCAATAATCTGAACATACAGACCACACAGGAAGTTCATTGCCCCACAGGAATAGAACCAACAGTGAACATTTATTGGCTGTTCATCATATGCTATAGGTCTTTTAAACACTGAGTGAGTGGTTGATTTCCTTCTGTGTGTTAACGTGTTCATGCAAGTGTGCAAGCCAAAAGTCACTATCAAAAGTCTCCCTCAATTTTTTCCATTTACTTTTCTCCTTTTTAAATTTTGTTTTCAATAAGTCTAATTATTTTTAAAAAAATCTTGCAAATATATTTTTTAAAAAAAATATCACACACCAAAATTATCCAAAGTCTGTGCAACTTAATGAAATGACATACAGTTAGAATTGACATCCAGAATAGAATACATTTTACACATTTATCCACTACTCAAACAAGAACATCCATAGCAGGATTAGAACTAGAATAATAACTAGCTTTATACCCTTTCCATAACTTGTCTATCGCTTGCAGTCATTCCTTCCTCATTATTTCCACGTACTCTTTTTGTGATAGGGTCTCTCACTGAACTTGGAACTCCTTAATTAAGTTAGACTAGCTTGCTAGAAGGAAGCCCCAGGGATCCTCCTATCTTTGCCTCCCCAGAAGTTGGGCTTGCAGGCATACACCAGAGTGCCTGGTTTTTTATATAAGCACTATGGATTTGAACATAGGCCCTCATGCTTCAACAGGAAACATTTTAGCTTCTCGGAAATCTGACAAAGTAGACGATATTTTCATTTTACAGATGAGCAGACTGAGGCTGAGAAAGGCTATGAACTTGTTCTAGGTTATTCCTGAGCTGATGAGTGGTGAGGCAGGCTCCTAATGTAGGCAGGCAGGGAGGAGAGATCACACTATAGCACTTAGCTTTAACACCCCCCCCCCAAGTGGTTAGCTACATGTTAGAAGACAGGAAATTCAAAATCTCCCAACAACAATCAGCAAGAGGAAAAAAACCTCTATCCGCCCTGAGTTCTGCACAAGTCTACTAGAGATGGAGGAGATGAAATTCCCTCAGAAGAAAGCCAACAGACAGCCCACTTAGAATATTACCTGCACTTTTTGACTACAGGTGCGACAGATTAGCACTGAAAAGTCTAATAGCATGCACATGTAATAACATGAACTGTGAAACTGTATGTAATCACACAAATCTATGGGATTTGTGCAAATGTTCCACTTTTGGGAATCATCCTCTGTGCAATGATAGGGTGACATTCTTGGATAATTCCTTAGCTCCCTCTAGCACCAAACTATACATACATGACCAGAGGAATAAAACACGAAGGGAGGAAAAAGGCCAACACCCAGGGGCTCAAGCCACCTAGACCAGGACAGGCTGCAGAGGACTCTGGGACAGTACTTCTGAACCTTCCTAATGCCACAACACTTTGATACAGTCCCTCGTGCTGTGCTGACCCCCAAGCATTAAATCATTTCCTTGCTGCTTCATAACTGTAATTCCGCTACTGTTGTGAATTGTAATGTAAATATCTATGTTTTCTGATAGTCTCAGGAGACCCCTGTGAAAGAGTTGTTCAATCCCAAGGGATTGCGACCCACAGGTTGAGAACCACAGGTTGAGAACCACTGCTCTAAAAAGTTCAGCATCCATAAAGCAACTGGTGCTGAAAAAGCAGATGCCCAGGGATTCTCTTTAGCTGTGCCAGATAGTTTCCCAAAGCCAAACAACTCTGTCTGAACATTGTTGCTGCCTGAGAAGAGATGTTCTATATGGGGATGGATGTTGGCAAAAGCATAGGCTCTGAGGAGGAATAACCAGTTTCAGCAGGTGTCAGAGACAGCAGGGTCTCAGCTGTCTGTTTCCTGTGAGGGAGGGACAGCATTATTAGGAGCATTAGTGGTGCTGGCTTTGAAAGAATAAATATTCTGAACCAGACAGCTGCTGTAAGGATGGGGACAGCTTGAACACTGTATTTCGGCTGACAGAAAAATTCCATCTGCTTTCCAGTAAGATTTGAAAAGGGCTTTTTGTCTGAACTTCTTTCTGTCTCTGTCTCTTTCTCTGTCTCTCTGTGTTGCTCTCTCTCTCTCTCTCTCTCTCTCTCTCTCTCTCTCTCTCTCTCTCTCTCTGTGTGTGTGTGTGTGTGTGTGTGTGTGTGTGTGTGTGTCCTGGAAAGAAGAAACTTCTAGAAGACTTGAATCTTTGATGAATGCAATACTGCATATATGTGTGCCCACCCCTGCAACCTGAACATTCCCATACATGTACACATACTCTAGAAGCTAAGTTACAATAGCTAGGATTGTCAAGCTAAATTGGAGTTCTTAGAAAGAGAGAAGAGAAAGGAAATCTAAGCAAAACATATAATTTTGAAGTCAGAAAACTGTCCCAATTAAACAAGAGGAAAGCTTTCTAGAGACAATTCGATGATTGGGTCATTTAAATGAGCTTGTTTCCTGTCAAATCTAACTGCAAATAGGGGCCCTGGCAAGAGAGCAAAGGACCCATGGTACCTTCCATCTAAATCCTCGATGTCTTTTATGAACAGGCCTCCTTGGTGCTTGCAGAGGTTCTTGCATGCCTTTAGGTGGTCCTTCTCCTTGTATAAGATGTACTCTTTGCCAGTAGTCTTATTTCGAAAAAAGTTGATTCCTTCCTTGAGGTTGGCAGTTTCAGCAGGTGTCAGAGACAGCAGGGTCTCAGCTGTCTGTTTCCTGCTAGTGAGGGACAGCATTATTAGGAGCATTAGTGGTGCTGGCTTTGAAAGAATAAATATTCTGAACAGACAGCTCAAAATTTCGCCTCCCACAACCCATTATCTGTGGTCCCCTGATAATACCGTTTCTACACCCTTTAAGTGCCTGTAAATACGCACACATTCTGCTTTCTGCAGAACCCGGTCCTCTCTCACTTGCCTGTCCATTGCTGCCAGCTCCTGGGAATTCCAAAGCAATTTCCGGGGTTCCTTCTACTTCTGTGGCTCTTTTGCTCACACCAGGAAGGTGAAGAAGGTGTTAACTGCCTGGAGAGAGAATGTTTACCCAAATTCACAATTTCCGTTGATAGTGTTTCCTCTCTCCACCCCCACCTCTTTTAAAAGCCTGGATGTTCAGTTCAGTTTCCCCTGGCTTCCTTTTTTACATCAGCCTCACAGGGAGTTCAGGTCCTCCAGAATCACCATCAGTATGTAGGTTGTCCCTCCTTGGCATCCCTGTAACTCCACCCCCAGGCCACTGAAACAGCACCTGGTAAGCTGCCTGCTCCTTTTATATGTGTCCACTTTGAAAGCCATCTTTAGTTTTCTCTTCCGTCATCAAGCTTGCTGCCTTTCCCAAGCTGTCTTCATCGGTTAGCTATTTAACAAATTAACTCTCTCAGGCACCAAGTTTGAAGGCTTTGCAGAAAACATCAGCAACAAAAGAGGTATACAAACACCAGGCTTTACTTCAACCCAGTTTCTTTGAATTATAACAAAATCCGAGTTCTATGGAGAAGTTTTCTAAAATGCAATTTTTTGCTTATCTGGGTGCAAAAATCTGGGTTTATGTGGCTACTTGCACCTTTTATCCAAACTTAAACTGGCCCACATTATCTCCTCTCCTCATGTTGCCTTTAAACATGTTCCCAAGTGTATGTGGGGATGATTTCACTTTCACTCTGTTAAAAATAATTGGTGGTGGTGGTGGGGGAGTGGCAGGGTGAGGAACTCAAGCTATTTCCAGTTCTAAACAGAGAAGGCGCAGCTCTGGGACAGCAGAGCTCCTTACAGCAGAGCCACTGCCACTTCTGTCCTACTCCTAGATCTCTCCGCAGCAGATATGTTTTAAGTGAATACGGTTAGGAAGGAGTCCATTCCAAACCCTGTGAATCACTTTACTGACTTTTTACAGTGTAAAGAGCTAACACCCACTTAAAAGCAAGCATAGGCACCACGCCTGTAGTGGGTAAAGATGCACAGAGGAACCATCTTCCGATGCTGTGATCTTCAGATTACTTGACTGAATGGAACACAAGACCCACATTCTTTGTTAGAGTCCAGATTGTGTCACCCACTGAAGAAAGCAGGTGCAATGAACTGCATCTATTTCTAGCATCACATGCAGCCACATTGGAGATAATGCAAAGGAGAAAAAAAGATTGGTGCTCTAATGTATAAGCTTGTTTTTGAGACAGGGTGTCATGGAACCCATTTTGGTCTCAAACTCATTATGTAGTCAATGGCTGAATCTCTTGTTTCTACCTCCCAAATGCTGGCTTTACAGGTGTTTTCACCGCGTGCACTGACACCTACAGCTAGCTACATGTTGTTATGTGTGTTTTTCAGCACTCCGTTACTTCCTAAAATCAGGAAAATGAGATTATTATAAACCATAGCTTGGGTACAAATACTTATACCAAGTTTTAAAAATATGTCTTTAATGCTTTGAAATTTTCAAATAGTTTGCTATCCTTTAAAAATGGCCATTAGGGGCTGAAGAGATGGCTCAGTAACTAAGAGCTCTGGAGGATTTTTAGAGCACCCAGGTTCAATTCCCAGTACTCACATGATAGCTGATAACTATCTGTATCTCCAGTCTTAAGCCTTGATGTTCAGGGACTGGGGCATGTGCACATATACACAAAATAAATAAATATAATTTTTCAGTGATTATTTAAATGAGTCAGGGATGAGGCTCGGTTGATACAGTGTTTGCCCTGCATAAAAAAAACAACAACAACAAAAAAAAAACAACAACAACCCTGGGTTTGATTCCCAGCACCCAATAAACTGAACATGGTAGGATCAAAGTTCAAGGGCATCTTCACCTAAATAGCAGATCAAGGCCAGTGTGAGTTACAGGAATCCCTCCCTTAATTAAAAATAACCATAACATATATACATAAAAGACTATTATATAGAGAAACATATGTGGCTTAAAACATCCTGAGTTCTTATTTTTCTGTCATAGAGTTTTTGATGGGATGCATTTCACTTTCCTCTCACTTATTGTTCAACTGTGTGTGTGTGAGTGTGTGTGTGTGTGTGTGTGTATGTGTGTGTGTGTGTGTGTGTGTGTGTGTGTGTATGTGTATACTTTAGACAGAGTCTCTATGTAGCTATGACTGGCCTTCAACTTGCCATGTAGACTAGGCTTACCTCACACTCACAGAGATCTGCCTGCCTCTGCCTCCTAAGTGTTGGGATTAAAGGTGTTAGCCAATATGTTAGGCTACTCTAAGTTTTTAAGGATATGCTTTCACTATGTATCCCTCTGAGTCAGTTTCCTAAGTCCTGGCCTCACAGGTGTGCGTTCCAACACCACAGAGGCCAGCTTTGTTTGTATTGTGGTTCTGTGGCTCAAATCTTTGTAGTTAGAAATGTTATGCAAGCATTCTACCTGCGAGCCATGTCTTTATATTCTTTTATGATTAATTATGACCTAAACTATGAATTAGCTAGAATTCATCTTTAAAAGCAGTCAGTGTATCTCATCTGAACTGTATGCTAAAAGTTCCCCATTGTAAGATGACAGTAAATCAACTTAAAAAGCCTTTAGGAGCAGTAGCTGCCTAGGACTGTGGATGGAGTGGTATAGGATTCCAGCCCTGGGCTCTGCTGCAAGCCTGGATGAGAGCCATGGCTCCATGCATACACTGCATCTGATGGGTAGAGATTGCTCTGTGAGGGCGCCACCATGCCTGGCCCAGTCAGAAGCCTCCCAACTGCTGCTTTGCTCCCTGCAGGGACAGCTCAGACAAGGTGGAGCAGATGTCCAAGAAGTCAAGGATGCACTACACACCCTGGCACCTGATAAGCAAGGCCCTTGGGTGCAGTGGCAGCCACAGTTCTACCCATCTAGTCACACCCTAACTGAGAGTAATTGAGTGTCAGCAGCACTGTTTGTAGGTCTCAGCTGAAGCCTTCTGGCCACCTTAGAACAGGACCTGGGCACCAGCAGAAGGGTCACCTCCATTCCTGTGTATTAGGATAATGACAAGGGAAAGCTGAGCAAGGAGACATCAGCACTGACACTTTGGGATCCATCCATGTGAGAGGCCCTTAGACTACACATCCAAGGGTAGACTGAAAGTGCCAGAGAGCAGATGGCTCAAGTTTAAAAGAGGCCTTTGCTTGTATGATAAGGACAGATGACTTCCCTGCCTCTGTGCCTGATGGGAGACTCACCATGCAATGTTGACAGTTATTTGAAACATAAATCCCTTTGAACTCTTGTTATCTCCCCCAAAGAATCACATGAGCTCTATGTGCCCCATTTCCCTACAGGTGGAGTAAGGATAAAGATGGAAACATTCCTAATAAACGGCAAGAGGCACAGTGTGTCAGGGTGTTGGTGAATGAGGTTAGGAGACAGGGGCAGGAGGACTGCTGTACATTCAAGATCAGCCTGGGCTACAAGCAAGACCCTGTCCCAGGAACAAACAAAAACACTGGATGCACTGGCTGTGTTAATTAGTGATTAATACACATTCCCCCCTCCCTTTTTTAACCATTACCAGTATTTTGTGTATAAATGAATAAGGTAAGCTAAGCAAATGTTTTGAAAAAATACTATATTAGTTTTCCTTGTAAAGTGCTTACTTTAACATAGACAATGTTATTGATTTACTACTTCCAAGATCTGTAGCAAGTTAGATATGGTGGTTTGCTTCTGTTATCTCACTACTGATTGAGAAGGCTGAGGCAGGACAATCATGAGTTCAAGCCCCACCTCAGCTACATAGTGAAACTCTGTCTCCCTAGAGGAGGTGAGAAATAGCACCACGAGTGATGCTTTGGGAATTTATTTTAGAACCCCAAATCTAGAGCCCTGCTGGCTATGGGACACACATCTATAGTCCCAACACTTAGGAGGACAAAGCAGGGTAGGTAATTAGAAGTTCAAAGCTAGCAGCATACATGTTGTGTTCCAAATCAGCCTGGACTACAGGGTGAGACACTGCCTCAGAAAATGACAATTAGGCCAGTTGGTGGTGGCCCACACCTTTAGTCCCAGCACTTAGCAGGCAGAGGTGGGCAAATAGATCTCTGTAAGTTCAAGGCCAACTGGTCCACAGATCGAGTCCCAGGACAGGCTCCAAAGCTACAGAGAAACACTGTCTTGAAAAACAAAAACAAACAAACAAACAAAGAATAGTCCCAAAACAAACAATGTAGAGTTCACAATAATATTAAAAGGTGGAAAGTTCTCTAGGGTAAAACTTCACTCATGTTTTGAGGCTGTCACAATCATGAGAGTCACTCTAAAACAGTGGTTCTCAACCTGCGGGTTACAATCCCTTTGGGGTCCAATGACCGTTTCATCCAGGTTGCCTAAGACCACCAGAAAAAAAGCAGTGTTTACATTAGAATTCGTAGTAGTAGCAGTTATGAAGTAGCAATGGAAATAATGTTACGGTTGAGGGTCACCACAACATGAGGAACTGTATTAAAGGGTCACCGCATTGGGAAGGTTGAGAACCACTGCTCTAGAGGGCAATGGACACAGCTTCTAGCTCAGGGTTGAAGGAAAAACAGTGATAAGAATGTCAGTGAAGCTGTGCCCAGTAGATCGGGAGGCTGTAATTAAGGCAGCTGTCATAAACCAGGTCATCCTCCAGGGCTGTACTCAGAAGACGGAATAGATGGGAATTTATAGATCCATGTTGCTATACATGGTTTCTTTTAAAATTTACTCTTTTATAATTTTATAATGTCAGTGATCACAGTCCCCATTTCTATTATCCTTTCTTATCCATTACCCCACCCACCCACAAAACCTTTCTCCCATAGCCCCTCTCCTTCACTGGCATTTGTTTTGTTTTTGTAGCCCACTATATTGTGAGCTGGAACTTGAGCAAAGGCTATGTCGCTGAGGAATATGACTTCCCACCCCCTGGAAAGCATTAACAGTCTATCGTCAGGTCCAAAGGACCCCTCCCCCCCGAAATTTGGCACCCATTCCCTTCTACAAATGGAGCCATTTCTGTATGAATGTCAGAAGAGGCAAATGGCTATCTGTGGTGCCTGTTTGCACACCAAAGCCCATGCTGGCCTCACTCAGTGTCCTAAATACCAGTGGTTCTCCTTCGGCTCTTCTCATCCAGTCCCCACCCTAAACTTCTCCCGCTTGTGGGCTTCCCTCCCCCAGCTT